CCCCCCCCCCCACCTTTCCGCAGCTCAGATAAGCATAGTCCCGTCTACTTTCTCGCTCTGTCAACGCGGTCATTCACTTCACTTTAACAGAGTACACCGGTGCAAAAGGAAGTCGCATAAGTATAAATTTCAAATCCAAATCTAATGTCACTTTACTTACTCGAAGAAGTTGACGTAGCGACATGAAATAAAAAGTTTTTTAACACGCATCTATGCCTCTTTTATTGCCCATTTGAAAAAATCGCTCGCGATTCATTCGTACAAGATATTTAATAATACCTGTCACTTTCTTACAAGTAACCTACTCAAAAGGTACACTCCGATTTCTGTCTAATTTGGCACAAATGTAGAAGTATAAAAAATATTTTGGTCATAATTTTCATTTTCGCCTACTTTGAGTTTCATAGGTAATTTATAGCTGTTTAATATTTTCACTCCTCAACAAATACAACATCATCATCAACAAATACAACAAAAAAAATAAAATTGAATACAAGATATAATTAAATAATTTTAACAAAATCGGTATAATTGAGACACAAACCATTTTAAATTTCTTTAGTCGAGATTCCAACTGAAATATTTCAAATCTGTGCTAAATTGGTCAACAATTGGTTCGAATCTCAACTAAACCAAGAAATTATTTGTATAAATAATTTTTTTCAAATTTGTACATGTTTTGTTTAAACATTTTATTATTTATACAAATAATTTTATACATTTGACTTTATATTTATAATCAGCAAACCTAAAACGCCTATATCTTGTATTTAATTTTATTTCTTATGCATTTTTGTTGTATTTGTTGATGATAGGAGTGAGAACATTAAAAAGCTATTAAACTATCCGTGAAACTCGAAGTGAGCTAAAATGAAAAAAATGATCTAAATATTTTCTGTACTTCTACCTTTGTGCCAAATTAGAAAAAAATCGGAGTATATCCTAACAGCACAGATATCCAGGAGACGTCCAGAATACATCCTGAAAACGTCCTGGGGACATTTCTACGTTCTCAGGACATCTGTGGGATGTCTTCAGGAAATCTTGTGCTGTGTGGATAACTTTTGGATAGGTTTACTTGTTACACTAAAAGTTACTTGTTACTGTAAAAAAACTTACGTATACAGTACATAAACAAATATTCCAAAAAGTCCACTCTAAATTTTGTGTAAAAAATAACTCATTTATATGTTCATTCGTGTGTTATTTATATTATGTACTAGTTTATATTACATAATGTAAATAACACACGAATGAACATATGAATGAGTTATTTTCAACACAAAATTTAGAGTGGACTTTTTGGAACATTTGTTTACGTATTGTGTACGCAAGATTTTTTTACAGTGTAGCTACTCGACCAATACTGCGCCTTTTCCCTCTAATTACTCTTATATATATATATATATATATATATATATATATATATATATATATATAT